AAAAAGGACATTTGAAACATCTTTAATTGGAAAAAAAATATTTGTACATAATCATTGCTTTTCTCTGCTAAAAGCTTTTATGAAGCTCTGGTGGCTTAGTGGTAAGTAATTGCACTGCCAGGCAAAGGTACAATTTGAATCTACCATCTGCTCTGTAGGAGAAAGATAGGCAGTCGATTTACGTGCAATTAACTGGAGGGTCAACTATGTGAAGATTTCAACCCGATGGCACACAGCAAGAACAAAAGCCATTAGAAATGACATGCCATTTTAAAATATAAGCTCTCTGAATTTAAGAAAGAAAACAGACTGGTGTACTTTAATTTGTTACGTGCTTTCTATATGTTTTCAGATTGTGAGTATGGCTAGAATTATGTTTAGGAATTTTATTTTTCTTTTATTAATTTAGACAAAATATAATAGCCCCTAATACACAACTTTTATTTGTATCATGTCTGGAAATATATTATCTTGACTTTTCATTATCTGCTGTTAGTGGTTACCAGTACAGTAAGTCACATGTAAAAGATAGTTTTTATCAAAGATTAGGCTTTATGAATTTCCACCACCCATAGTCAGGAAAGTTAGATTTTCCTTTCCAGTCTGTCACTGATAATGTAATAGTGTCACTCATTCACCTCCACCTGTAGAAAGTTGGAGTTGATATTAATTACCATGAAACTTGTTGCCATCAAGTTGATTGTGATTGATAGTGACCCAGTAGCACAGAATTGAACTGCCTCATAGGCTTTCCAGGACTGTTGGAGTCTTTATGGAACTAGAATACCACATCTTTCTCCACAGAGTGACTATTCAAACAACCATTCCTTTCAGTTAGTAGCCACACAGTTAACTCCACTGCACTATGGAGACATATATATGGAGAGAGAGAATCATATATGTATGTTGTTGTTGTTGTTGTTATGTGCCGTCGAGTCATTTCCGACTCATAGCGACCCTATGCACAACAGCCCTAAACCCTGCTCTATCCTGCACCAACCGCACCGCCTCTGACACACCCATCCCGATTACCCCAGTCACCGAATCAATATATGTATGACAGAGAAAGAGAGAGAAAAAAAAAAAAAAAGATGAGGCTGACAGATGTTCCATCTGAGGGCAGGCTAGAAATTTAGGGTTTCTATTACAGTCTTGCTGAATTCTTTTCTGAGACCTCTGATTTTGTCTTTAAAGCCCACATTGTCGATTTTCTCAGAATCAGCTAATTATGTCAGTCCTTTCTATAAAATGGTATGGCTATATCTAGATTTTGACCAAACAGTTAAGCACAATAGTCTACAAATTGACATGTAAAGTTGACTATCACATCATAGTTCACATTATGTGACATATATATAACTGCTTATTTCATAAGTTTTCTAAGACTTTCAACCTTTCAGTTTTAGATGTAATTGAGTAAACAAAATATAAGTGATATATATAAATGATAATTTTAATAAGTATTTACAATTAATTATAGTTAAAATGATACCATTTCTTAAATATGAGTAAAGATGATGAAGACATTCAGATCATTCAAAATAATTCTTTTTTTTCCCCCCAAAATAATTCTTGCAGGATCATGAACTGCATCAAGTTAAAATTTTTCTTTTCCAAAAGAATATAGGATGCTTCTTTTTTTATTTTCCCCCCTTTTTTTACTCATTGTTGAACATTTTCTTCCTCCCACCACCCCACCCCACAAAGCACCCCTTGTTGCAGCTTGTTGTCATTCATATAATGCCTAGTCACATATTCCTTTTGGACAGTTCTTCCCCTCATCTGTTCTAATGCAGTGTTCATTATCTTCCCATTCTTTTCCCATTCTCTCCGTAGCCCCCTTCACCTAGGTCCTATTTTATAACAGCAATATTATGCAGTATTTATCCTTTTGTGACTGAGATGATTCACGCAGCATAATGTCCTCCAGGCTCCCCATGTTGTGTAATGTTTTATGAGTTCATTGTTTTTCAGTGCTGCATAATATTCCATTGTATGAGTATACCATCGTTTTTTCTATCCATTCTTTTGTTGATGGTCACTTGGGTTGCTTCCATCACTTTGCTATTGTGAATAACACAGCAGTATACATGAGTGTGCATACATCTGTTGAGTCATGGCTCTGATTTCTTTCGGGTATATTCCCAGTAGTGAAATTGCTGAGTAAAATGGTATTTTTGTTTCTAACTTCTAGAGAAAGCACCACACCACATTCCATAGTGGCTGTACCATTTTACACTCCCACCAGCAGTGAATAAGAGTTCCAATCTTTCCACAACCTTGCCAGCATTTGTTTTTTCCTCTCCTGTTGAACTTTGCTGTGGTTGTTGGGGCTTATTTTTAAATGGAGTGAATCTGTCAGTTAATTTTTATTACAAAATTGTAACTTTTTTTTCTAGGATTGTTGTTGTTAGTAAGTGCCGTCAAGTTGAGTACAACTCATAGCGATCCTATGAACAAAAAATCTCAACCCTGTTCTATTCTATAACTATCCTCATTTCTCTAGTGTTCATTGAGTTTCCAAAGTCTCCTGCTTCCAAGTCTGTCTTAATCTGGGAACTTTACCAAACTCTGTCTACTACAGGTAACCATTTTTCTAGGATAGAGGTCAGCAAACTTTTTCTGTAAAGGACAGATATGAACATTTTATGTTTGTTTACCATTGAGAGGGAACTGACCCGTACCTGATTTTTTTCAGAGGCAGTAACTTCCAAGGAGTTACTCATATTCTAATCACAGTAAACAGTTACTCAGTTGGGAAAAGTTCTTGATCTGCATAGGGATTTAATCTTTAAACGGTTTCATTCATCAATTTTATCCTTTTCAGATTGTGCACTTCTGGCTTTATTTGACAGTCTCTTTATACCGTAGACTAGGTCTTTTACGCTTGATCCCAGTTTCTTTTATGAAGGTTATGGTTTTGGGCTTTACTCCCAAGTCTCTGATCCATCTACCTTGAGGTGATTTTTGTGTATAGTGTGAGATGTAGATCCTGCTTCAGCTTTCTGCAGGTGGTAGTCCAGTTTTGCCAGTACCATTTGATTTGATAGGTTTGATTTCCTTGTCGAATATCAATTGACCATAGATAGTCGGGTCTATTTCTAGATTCTCAATTCTGTTCCATTGGTCTATGTGCTGTTATTCTACCAGTACCAGTTTTGGTTACTGCTGCTGTGTAATAGGTTTTGAGGTCAGGGAGTGCTATGCCTCTCACTTCATTTTTGTTTCTCAGAAGTGTTTAGCTTATTCAGGGTTACTTGTCTCTCCAAATAAACTTGACAATTCACAGGGTGAAAATAAAACCTACTGACAGGGAACAAACATTTGGCAATACCATCTCCAACACGATTCTTATTACAGAATTTTACAAAATACTCCTGGGCCTTCACAAGAAAAAGACTGATAACCCAATTACAAAATGGGCAAAAGACATGGAAAGAATTTTCACAGAGGAAAATATTCAAATGGCCAACAGACATATGAAGAAATAAATGCTCAAAATCACTGGCAATAAGAGAGATGCAGATCAAAACCACAGTGAGATACCACTCCAGTAGCAGTGGCAAAGTTTAACAGGATAGCAAGTAATAAATGTTGGAGAGGATGTGGCAAGATAGGAACTCTTATACACTGTTGGTGGCATTGTAAAATGGTACAACCACTCTGGAAGGCAGTTTGGCACTTCCTCAAAAATCTTAACATAGAATTCCGTATGACCCAGCTATTTCATTGCTTGGAATACACCTCAAGAAAATGAGAACTGAGGCACAAATGGAGACTTGTACACCAATGTTCATAGCAAGGTTATTCACCATCACAAAGACATGGAAACAGCCCAGATGTCCAACCACAATTGAATGAATTGAGAAATTATTGTACATTCACACAGTGGAATACTACACAGCAGGCAGGAGCAATGATTTTTGTAAATTACTATCTAACTTTGGAGGAACTGGAGAGCATTATGCTGAGTGAACTCACTCAGTCCCATAAGGACAAATATTTTATAAAACCATTATTTTAGAAAGAGTAGGAGGATCCAAGGAGGGGGAGCACAGGATTGAAGAAGGGTGGGCAGGGAGGATTAATTATGGGGTTGCACAATTTAATGGGAGGGTGAGAGAAATGGGAAGGATTGGGTGTGAAAAAACAATGTATTTGAATTTTGTAAATAAACTAGTATTAAAAAATAAGTAATTACTCAGATAGTTCTATCACTCTTTAAATGTGACAGTAGAAGGGATAATTATTTGGTTGCCTGTAGCAAACTAAATGTTTCAGTACTTTTTCCCCCTGTATACTGAATATGGAGTTATGAAAAAAATTATTATTTGTCATTTTCTCCCCAAATAAAATGGCATTTTTTAACTAGTTGTATTTTAGAGAATAATGAGAGAGAGAGAGTGTGTGTGTGTGTGTTTTCATGGGGATAAGCATATGTATTTCCTGCAATGTAAATGGAACAGAGTTTTTGCTGAGTGTATATTAAAGTATTAAACGTTTGTAGATTCTGTTTAGAGCTAATAATGTATTCATTGATGCCAAAATGAAAAGATTTCTATATTAATAGCTGTTTTATCCTACCCTTGAGAATTTAACATAATGAGTTTGTCTCTTGGTGTGTTACCTTTTTTCAGAGATTTTCTGATCACTTTTCTTGAATGAATACTGTACTAAAGATACTGTGCGTGAAAATTCCTTGTGGATTGTTTTGATAAACAGTGTACCAAAGATGAGCTGTCTTAACCTGTATGTCTGTTTATGTACAGGAACTTAAGATATTGTATAATAAATATCAATCTACAAAGACAGTATAAATTTAAAGTCTGATGGATCATAGTGAGAAATGTAATAATCTTATAAAGCATATTTAAGAAATGGTATCATTTTAACTATAATTAATTGTAAATACTTATTAAAATTATCATTTCTATATATCATTTATATTTTTGTTTAAAGAATTGTTTTTGTAAATCACTTTTCTACATTTTATTTGAAAGGCCTGGCTTTGGGAAGAAGACAAGAATCTGAAATGTGGTGTGAAGAAGTTTGGAGAGGGAAACTGGACTAAAATACTATTAAATTATAAATTCAACAATCGAACAAGCGTCATGTTAAAAGACCGATGGAGGACCATGAAGAAATTAAAACTGATTTACTCAGACAATGAAGACTGAGTATATTTTTAAGAATTTGATAAAAAGAGGACAGTTAAATATTTTGATCACTGCATTTGTTGTTAATACTGGTGTGATATACACCTTGAAATTTTGGTTTATGTTATAGTAGTTTTCTGTGAAACAGCCATTTGATTCATTTCAGGATTGTTCTGTAGTGTTACATTTATATGCCCTCATTGAACCCTTAAGTATTATTAAATATACACTCCTACATTCTCCATTTGAAGAAAATTTTTGTTAACTTACTGTGTTTCTGAAGACAATCACTGAATAACAGTATGCCTTTGACATAGAGATTTTTATTTGCGTCTTGACCTTAATAATGCAGTTAAGCTATCAAGGCTTTTTATTATAGAATAAGAAATGTATAAGGTATAATATATTACTTATAATATCTCTAAGTTTTCCTAGAAAGAACAATTTGAAAATAATCGTTCCAGGACCAAATTTGTACTGTTAGCTTCATGTTGTATTTTGGCCATCTGACTTTCTCATTCCATTGATCAGATTATAACAACAATAGAATATTTTAAATAAAACTACTGCTTAATACCTGATTTTATAAACATTAGGTTTTCTGAGACTTAGTAAGTCTAACACAAATACTAATATTAAGCCTATTTAGTAGTCTATAATCATTTAACCATGGATTTTTTGTTGTTGTTGTTGTTCAATTTCTTTTTTAACCATGGTTCATTTTAATGTCTGTGATAATGCAGTGTCACTATTCACACATCCTTAGGTAAGGAACCTTGTAGATCAAAGGGCGCACAGAGCAGGCGTTTTTGGTGTGTTTTTTTTTTATTCTGATTTATTTATAGAGTTTAAATACATTGTTTCACACAAAAGATCCTTCTCATTTCCTTCACCCCACCCTTGCATTGAATTGTATAACCCTATGATTAACACCCTACCCCTCTACCCATCCTCACCCCTCTATTTCCACCCTTCCACCTGCCTAGGATCCTCATACTCATTCTACAGTAATGGTTTTATACAATATTTGTCTTTGTGGGACTGAGTTAGTTCACTCAGCATAACGTTCTCCAATCCCTCCCAAGTTAGGTAGTAATTTACAAAATGATTGCTCCTGCATGCTGTGTAGTATTCCATTGTAAGAATGTACCACAGCTTTTCAATCCTTTCATTTGTGGTTGAAATTCTGGGCTATTTCCATGTTCTTGTAATGATGAATAATGCTGCTATGACCATCGGTGTACAATGTTTCCATTTAAGCCTTAGTTCTCGTTTTCTTGGGTTATATTCCAAGCAATGGAATAGCTGGGTCATATGGAATTTTGATGTTGAACTTTCGGAGGAAGTGTCAAACTGCCTTCCTGAGTGGTTGTACCGTTGTATAATTATATCAGCAATGCAAAAGAGTTCCTGTCTCACCACATCCTCTCATTTATTTCTTGCTGTCCTGTTAAATTTTGTCACAGAGCAGGCGTTTCTAATGGTGTGATGAACAGCCATTTATCGCTCACCAGCCGAACAGGACACCATTACGTAGACCACACATCATCAGCCTAGATTTCTTAAGGTTGGGTTCTTATTTACAAGGTGAGATCACATCCCTAGTTCACGTCTTAGGAAGACACTGAAGTTCTTTTTCCATATCAAATGCTAATCTGTTATCTGTCTTATGTGCCAAGATGCTGTGTACAAAGAAAAAGTAGGGGGAAAGGCCATAAAACTTAAAATGTGATAAAGCGTAGAAGGCCCCCATAGGCACTGGGTATCATTTATTGTCCTAGTTCATTTAGGCTAGGAGCAATTCTGAATTGACTAGCATCCGAGAACAATCCTTCTTCATATGGCATCCATCTCCCCTTAAGTCATACACTTTGCATTCATTTGGAGCTTTTTAGTCCATTAGCAGCTAGGGAGATAAGGAACATTTATTTATATACCTCACTTGTTCATCTACCCCAAAGCAGCCAGCAAAGTGAGGTCAAAATAATGCAGATACTTAAAGTGGGGAAAAAACCGAGCCTCCCATCCAGTGAATCTCTCAGGTCACCTTACTCTTCACCAAACTGATGGGATGATGATTTGGGTTCTCTGCTTGACAAAATCCAGAGGACCTCTCCGCTTCCAGCAGCCAGACCAGCACCATTCCACCAGTGGAGCCTCAGGCAACATCAACACAGGTAAGAAAACCAAGTATTACTAAATGAGAGCTGCCCTCTTGGCTCTAAGACTGACCTACTCTTTTACGTTCCGGCATGCTCAGTGACACATCTAGATCCTTCAGCCTAACCGAGCAACAGCTAGCTCATAGTACATAAGGAATAACACTGCTAGTCCTCAGGCCTCTAGCAGTTGAATCCACCAGCACCTCTTTGGAAGAAAGATGAGCAATCTCCTCTTAATGGGATTTACAGTCTGAGAAACACAATGGGGGGTCAGCTGTGGATTGGATCCAGCACAACCGCAGTGAGATGAATGTGCTTCTCAAAGAGAAATACTAAATAAACAAGGTCAAACAGTAATTTAATAGCCAATATTTCTTTTTGCCAATCCACTTAACAGTTTTATACCACATTTAAAAATTTAGAGTCACCAGTATCATTTTCTAAAGGCAATCATTGACTTTTAGCTGTTTTCTCAGGTATTGATTTTTAGGTTTATTGATAATGTGTTCATAATGCTGTTTTTATTTTTCAGTTTTAATACTAGATTATTGCCCTCCAGGATGAGGTTTCCAGTCTCCTGTCTATGCCAGCCAGCAGCTTTTTCTTTTCTTTTTTTTTTTTTTGGTAAAGTTTCTGAGTACCATGGAGTCAAAACCAATTCATAGCTGACCCTCTAGTGAGTTTTCAGAGGCAGTTACATGAGAGTTGATTTGATTGCCCATCTTTCTCCCATGGTGCCGCTGACTGGTCTGACACATGTACTTTTTATCAAGAAACAAAGCTATATCCCCTGCCCCCAAATCCTGATGAGAGTGTCATTCATTTGCTTCTCCTTTTATCACGAGAAATGCAGGGGAAACAATGTCCATGAGCAATGTCTTGTTTGATATTCATGTGCTACAAGCAAAGGAATCCATTTCAATTACCTTTGCTCCTTTTATATCCATCTAGGCCAGATCTTATGGGGAAAAGTTCTACAGGTTCCAGCATGCATGCCCTTTCAAATCATACATTTAATTAAACATCTCCATTTGCCATTGCAGCTATATCACATTTTTAATCATTCATTAACTAGCTTCACCTTTGTGTATTTTTCCACTCTTTTTCTTGACACTTCTGAAATTTCACATGGCTGTCACTTTGTCCAACAAGCATTTTACCAAAAGGAACAGATGAAAGACTTCCCCTTGCAGAAATAACCAATAGATGCAGTGCCCCCCACCCCCCACAACTGCAGTGCATGTGTCTTGTCCCGTTTCCCTGATAGATCAGCATCCCTTGCACTCCCGCCTACCCTGCTCAGCACCTCCCTCTCCCGAGCCACCCCTGATATCATGGCTTAGGCCACGAATAATTTCCATGATGTGTGCCTCATACTGCTGCTGATCTCTCAGGCTGATGCCTGTCTTGCGTTGAGGAAAGTGTAAGTCCAAGCCCCATGTACCAGCTTCAGGGAAAGATTTTTGTCAGAGATAGTAAAGGGGAGAGATTCTTGCCCCTGAGCTTCTCCTCCACCACTGTCATTTGCAACTTAGTGTCTCTGCTCTTCCTTATGCAGCACACTGCTGCTACAATAATTTCTGAGGTGAGGGCTAGGTCTCCTCTCTATCTAGAGGGTGAAACCAAGGTTTTACTTGGAGGCTAGGATATTGATACTCTGTCTCACATACTTTAGGGCCAAGATGGACAGGTCCTTGGAGGACATCGTGCTCGGAAGGGTGAAGGCACAGCCCAGGAGAGGAAGACTCCAATGAGATGGGCTGGTACAGTAACGGGAAATGGGGGTAGGTGTGTTGGAGTGAGACTGGCTCGGGACAGGGCTTCAGAGCTGTTGTACATAGGGTTGCTGAGTTGCAGGCAGCTCAACAGCACATAATAACATTTTCTGCCATATAAAATCCTCTTTCAGTCTCTCTATGTTTAAAAAGTACCTTCATTTTACTGGGAATTGGGGAAAAACAGACATAAATTTTGTACATCCAGCCTGTCATATTTAACTCAAAGAAATGCCCTAGTTGGGACCCTCTAGGAGTCCTGAAAGAGCTCACGTAGCACAGTGTGTTATGTATTACACCGCTAACTGAGAGGAGAGAGGTCTACCTGATGCTCCTTAGGAAAATGATGGGCACTCTCCTTCCATAAAAACTGACAGAAATTCGATGGAGGTCATTAAGCTGGAATCAACCCCAGAATGGTGGTTTTTTAGGTTTTGGGTGGGGTTGTGGTTTTTTTCCCTCTTTTTTTTGAAAGGAGCACTGGTGGTACACTGTTGTGCCTTGGGCTCCTAATTGGAAGGTTGGTAGGTTTGGAATCCACAACTCCCAGAGAGAATAAGAGGCAGGCTTCTCAAAAATTTGCAGCTTTGGACACCTGTTGAAGAGTTATTGAGTGGTTCTAATAAGACTTCTAGCCGTCTTTGTTGCAAATGGTTAATTTTGTATAATTTTGCTACTAATCAATAGGTTGGTAGTTTGAACCTACCTACCTAGAGGTGCAAGCACAGGGAAGAATTCAAGATACTAAAGAGTTGAATAGAAGATTTCAAAAGGCAGCACGGGACGACAAAGTAAAATATTACAATGAAATGTGTAAGGAGTTGGAGTCAGAAAATCAAAAGGGATGAACTAGCTTAGCATTTCTTAAGCTCAAGGAACTGAAGAACAAATTCAAACCTCGAGTTGCTATGATCAAGGATGCTTTAGGCAGAGTATTAAATGATCCAGGAAGTATTAAAAGAAGATGGAAAGAATATACTGAGTCACTGTATTGAAAAGAATTGGCAGACGCAGAAGAATTTAATGAATAACATATGAGCAAGAGCCTATGGTGATGAAGGAAGAAGTTCAAGCTGCTTTGAAG